GCCTTGTCAATGGCCGTCTTCTCCCTGTGTCCTTACACGGTTGTCCCTTTGTGTATGTCTATCTGTCTCCTCATCTCCCCTTTTCATAATGACACCAGTCATATTGGATTGGGGACCACCCTAATGACCTCATTTTACCTTAATTACCTCTTTAAAGGCCCCATCTCCAAATACAATCACAATCTAAGGGGGTTAGAATGTCACCAGGTAGATCTTGGGGTGGACAGAAGGCAGCCTCTAATACTAACCAACCACCTGGTATGGTGCCAGATGGACACCGTGCGTGGTGAGAACCTCATGGGCTCGGGACCCAGGCATGTCTTGGTTGTATCCTGGCTGTGCCACTGGTCCACATGAGGCTGGCAGATTCCTGTATGATCTTGGTTCCCTCACTGTGGAGCCCGGGCTATGCAGTGGGGAGGACATGCCTTCCCCATGGCTGCTGTGTAAGTGAAATGAGATCACAGGTCCGAGGCCTGCTGGGCACTGGTCACATGGACATTAACATCCTTAGATGTCATGGCAGAGACAGAAGTATAGATGGGCCTCCAGTCAGGGGCTGCCCCTGATGACTAGATGTGGCGGACCCCTGAAGGCAAGGAGGGTACCGGGGGATCCTAGCGCGGGCCTATCACAGAGTGGCCACTCCACACCCCCTTAATGGTGAGAATGACAGTGGCATCCAGGAGAGCCCTGATTTGGCACCTGTTGGGTGGGAGGCACAGGTTCAAGGGTATGGGGATTTAAGAAGAGAGATGTCTGCTGGAGGACTGGGAAGGCCCAGTGGTTCTCATGTTTTGTGTATGTGACACAATTTGGAACCTCTAATTTTTGGCAGCCCACTCAAAGGGGTGGAAATCTTTCCACATTTGCCATCCTGCTTACAGCCTGCTCCTTCCTAGGAATAGATCTTACTGTAGAGTGGAGAGGAGACGCAGAGGGAACGGGGAGCCGGCCCAGAATGGAGGCGGTGGGATCCCATGCTGGCAGAGGGCGTACCGGGGCACCACCCTGGGTGTCAGGGACTCACTGGGCTTCTGGCCCAGCTCTGCCACCTCCTTAAGCTGTCATTTCCTCTGCCGCATTACGGAAGGACAATGTCGATCCCAGTGGTGGCTGTCACTGTGCATGGCTCTGACTCAGGGCCGTGCTTTTCTCAGCATGCTGCGCTGCCAGCTGCCAGGGACTCAGCTTTCTCTCTTCACGTGCCCAACAAGGGTGTACAGCACACCAACGATGTGCAGACACAGACCTTGGCCCGAGGGAGCTCATTGGCTAGTGGGCAATGAGAAAATCAACACTTTAACAAAGAAATAAAGGAGTATGAGGTGGGAAAAGTGAAGTAAAGGGGATGGATCTGTGCAGGACAGGGAACATCAAGGTCAGGGGCCTTAGGCTGGCATGGGCAGGAGGAGCCCTTGGCAAAAGTGGCATCCTGGTTGAAACCCAAAAGACAGGAAGGAGTTGGCTGAGCAAAGAGGCACGAAGGGAGAGGAGGGACCTTGAGTGTTCTAGGGGCCGTGCAAAGGCCCGGGGGCTGCCACCAGTGAGTGAGGGGTGCAGGGCTGAGATGCACTTGGAGGGTTGGGGAGCCACCAGCACAGCTGCTGCCCTCAGAAAACCACCCAGTGTGGGTAGTTACACCACACAGAAGAACCACAGGAGGCTTCTCCTCCAGAAGCCGGGCAGCATTTGTTTTCTGACTTGGGGGAAAGACAGTCCACCTGTGCCAACAGTGATCTCCCAGACAAATGGAGAGCTATTTGTTATCTGGAGAGAGCGCCAGTTGTTCCGCTCCTCTGAGATGGGAGACAGCTGAACTGTCACAATGGAACATAATGAATGACTTCCTGCTTGGAGCAGAACCCAAGGGGTGTGTGTCATCTTGCCAGGACCCGGGGTTCAGATGGCAGGGGGCTTCCTAGGTCCCTAAATCCTCCCATGGGAACCCTCTGAAGGTCAGTCCCATCTGCTGCAAACTACAAGCGAATGTGCCGCTCAGGAAGTATCTTGACTCTTACATAAAGACCCAGAAGAAATGGTTAGACCTTAGTGCCAGAAAGGACTTTGTCCCTCCTGATAAGATGGTGCACTTTCTTTGGTCAGAAAACAGGAACTGTATAAGAGATCATAATTTGATTTTTACTTTGGTTGCCACGGAACTCAGGGTCAAGTTTAGGTATAGGAATTACATTACTTCAGGTTTCTGCATAATTATTTCTCCCTGTCTCAATTGTTTCCTAAAAATAAATGAAAAATAACCACATTTTCACTAGTCAAACACAACCTCCACTTTCATTTAGTTCCCTTTTAATCTTCAGCTACATGGATACAGCTTTTGTGGTCATGATTGCAGTATGGACCTATATATTCACACTCAAATTTTTTTTTTTTTTTTACATAATCCTATTATGTTCACAAAGATCCTATTTGTACTTGGGATTTTTCAACAATAGTACGATATTCCACTGAATCACTGAATATCATGGAGTCAAATCTAATCATACATACCATAAATAGGCTATTGTTGGACACTGCATACAACTTTTCTTTATTTGTACTATAATAAACAATTCTGTTATTACAAAAAGAAGTGAGTAAAGGTTATGAAAGAAGTCACAAAAGAAGAAATACAAATGGCTAAGAAGCACATGAAAAATGTCCAACTTCTGTGATATGTCAGATGATGATTAATGATACATTGAAACAAGACGCCCATTCCTTTTGCCTTGTGGAAATAGCCCAGATTAAACAAAGATGTTACTCAATGCGGGAGAGGAGGTGGTTTCTGTCTTTCTCCAGGAATGTGAATAAGTTAATTTCTGGGTGTAGCTGTTCTCTTGCAGTGCATCCATACTAGGAGCTGGGCGTAGAACACACTGGGCTCACTGCAGCATGATTTATAACTGCTCCCCTGACCCTCAAATTTAAATGACCTAAATGTCCCATAATAGGAGAGTGGTTAAGTAAACATGTATACACCTTTCATAATTTTCACTCACTAGATGTGCAATGAAGATACTAAATAAAATGGGGAAATGTTTATGCTATAGTGTTCAGTGGGAAACAGAATACTTGATACAAGTTACTCTCAGACAAGCTCATGACAGGGAGTCAGACAACCTAGATCCAATCCCAGTGCTGCCAATCACTAGTCCTGAGAATATGACCAGTGATCTTGCCTTTCTGAGCCTCGATTCCCTCATCTACATAATGGGGGTACTGAAGTTTCCCATGGCAGTTGTGGGAATTAATGAAATAATGTACTGTGCACACACTACACCACCTCTGAACTCTAAACTCCTTCCAGGGCATCCTTATTCTCACAGGGCTTAAAAAATCAACTTAATACTAAAGCACCAGTGAGTCTCCAAGTCAGAATTCCCCACCCACCCCCTGTTCGACTGCCTGCAGGAACTACCCACTGCTCTGCCACCCCACACCATCCCGTCAAAGTGGGCCAGCGCATTTTCCTGCACTGCCCAGGGTCTCTGGTGCTTCCATGCCCTTGCAGATACTATTCCTTCTGCCCAGGAAACCCTTCCCACCATCTGCTCATCTTTCAAGGGCCAGTCTCATGTCACCGCTTCTGGGAAGCCTAGAGAATCTTGGACAGTTAGCAAGTGGGTCCCTTTTATGAGCTTTCCTGGGCTGTCCACAAACCTCAGACTTACAAGGCATCCTTTGGGAAACAAATTTTTTGTCTTTTTGTTTTTGATTTTAAAGTCTAACATTCATTCAGAAAAGGGCACATGTAAGTGAACAATTTAATAAATTTTCACAAACTGAACCCAACCTTGTAACCAATACCCAGATTAAAAAAACAGATCTTAACCACTAAGACCCCAGAAAGCTCTCTTGTGTCCCCTCCAGTCATTAATGCACCCCAAGGCCCATCACTCTTCTGACTTCTAAGCTGTTCTTGTCCTTCATGGAGATGGAATAATGCAGCATGCCCTTTAAGGTCCGGCTCTGTTGTCCCTTGTGACTGTGAGAGCTCCTGCGGGGTGACCACAAGGCTCTGCAAATCAGAGCAGCTGGAGGTGAGCAGAGCCATGACTTCCGGCCTCTCTGCAGGCAGCCCCAACAAGCCTTTTTTGTTGGAGGGTGAATTGTGCAGCATTAACCTTACAGAGCTGTGGCGGGCTCCTAGGCTGACACCCCCACCATGTTTCCCTCTAGGGCTGGCGACCGTTGGGCAATTCCTAACTGGAAACTATTAGGACCAGCACTGCCACGACCACTCCGTGCCTCACTTCTGGTGCCCGCAGACACACGGGGAGGCATATCTGCCAGGCATAAGCCTGAGAGCGGGATTGCTGGGCCAGGGGATCCCACGTTCAGCTGAGAGGTGTTTTCTGTGGGTCCCATCCCAGGGCTCTGTTTCTCCCCCTTCACGAGTCTCACTTTTCTTTCTTTTTTTAAATTAAGGTATCATTGATACACAATCACATGAGCAACACTGTGGTTACTACATTCCCCCCATTATCAATGACTTTTCTTTCTTTTAAAAATAAATCTGTTTATGGTTCTAACAGACGGATCCATCCTCAGGAACCACCAACTGGTCGCTGCCATGAATTCCTACACAAAGTGGCTTCCGCAGGCCCAGCGAAGGCTGCTTCCTCTCCGGGAAACGCATCTTTTCCTTTGGACTTTGGTGTCCCGGGTTCCTCACTTTTCGCTGGAGTTGGGATGTAGGTTCGGTTTGTCTGCCGCGCCCGACTGGCGGTACCCGGACGGCAGAGCCGGTCGCAGCCCGCGCCTGCCTGGGGTCAGCAGGGACTCGCAGACCCCGACGCTCCGCGCGCAGGGCGCGCAAGGCTGGAGCGGGCGGAGGACGGCAGCAGGGCTTTGCTCGCGGGCCGCGTCCCACGGGGAGCGCCCCCAGCGGGCGGGCGTCAGGGTCCGCCCGTATCGGCCCCCCGACTCTTCCCGAGGGCGCCTCCGGCCCCCGGCCCCCCGGCCCCCCGGCCCCCCGCGGCTTCCGGCGGCGCTGAGCTTCGGTGCCGAGCCCGCCCCTCGGGCCAGCGCGCGGAGGGGCTCGGGTTTCCCTCGCGCTGGGGCGGGGGCGCGCGCTGCCCGGATGTGTCCCCCCTCCGGCCCCCGCCGGCGGGAAGGCGGGGTCCCTGCCCCCTCCGCCGCCTCGGGCCTGTACGCCCCTCGGGGCGGTGACGTGCGCAGCCGTCCGGGAGGGGGACGGGCGGCCCCGCGGCCCCGCCCCGCCCCCGCCGCGCCCTCCTCGGGGCGGGATAATTGAACGGCGCTGCCGGGGCCCCGCGTTGCCTGCCGAGGCCCGGCCCGAGCGTGGAGCCCGCACCGCCGCCGCGCCCCGAGCCCACCAGCCGCCGCGCCTTTGTCCGCCGCCGCCGCCCATGGAGCGCGCCCCGCCGTCGCGCCGGCTCCCGCTGACGCTGCTGCTGCTCGGCGGCCTCTCGCTGCTGGCGGCCCCAGGTAGGGGCCTCGCCTCCCGCCCGGCCGCGCGGCCGCGCGTTCCCCGAGTCCCGGGGCTGCCCCTGCGCCGGCCCGCGCCGAGCGAGCCGCGCCCCGCCGGGGCTGGCGACCTTTCCTCCCCTCACCCGCCCTGGCCTGGGGCCTAGGCGCCTCCGTGACTTGGGGCGCTTGTTTTAAAGATGCTCTCCCCCAGCCCCCCGCCACATCCTCCCGCAGGCCCCCTCGCGCCCGCCCAGCCTAGCAGGGCCCCGCTCCCGGAGCGCCCTGGGCACGTCCGCTCTCCCTGCCCCCTGCCCCCACCTCCACCCCGCGTCGGAGTTGGCGTACCCGGCTCGCTGGTGAGAAACTCAGACTGGAAACAGGAATTTTCTCAAGGACAAAACCGGTCATGGGTAGGAGGTGGACACGAAGGAATCAGAAAGGAAGGGAGTGGGTCTGCTGTTTCCAGGTTGATAGCTGTGTGTGGGGAGACCCCTGCCTGCCCTCCCCGGCGGGACGGAGGCCGGACAGGTTTTGCCAGGTTCCATCCTCAGCTGCAGCTGGACACAGGGCACTTCTAAAGCCACCCACTCCTTGGCAAGACTGCTGGAGCCTCTACTAGCAGATCCCTGGCACAGAGCCGCAACCCCGGGATTGACAGCACTAGGGTGACCCAGCTGTGCCCTTCTTTCTCCCTGAATCCTCAAGGCCTACCTAGCTCTGGGGTAACCACGAGGCCCTGCCGATCAGAGCAGAGCCATGGCTTCTGACCTCTCTGCTGACCCTGGCTCAGCAGTCATTAGCTAGGCCCGCCTTCTGGGGGCTTTGTTCAGACAACAGCCCCTACTGCCCTTGGAATCCCAGATCCTTTATCTCTGGCTTAGTTTAGTTTCTTTTAAACTCTTTGGTGACCACCCTTCTCCTTGGTCAAAGGTTACTTGGGAGAGGCTGGGGGACTGGGGGAGGGCCCTGCGGAGGTTTCTTGGTTCCCTCCCTGCAGCAGACATGGCTCCATCCTGGGCATGTCCTAGGGGATATGGTGGGGCAGATGGCATAGATGGCACAGAGAGGTACAGGGCTTAGTGCTGGCGGCAAGAGCCATCCTGGTCCCCCAGGCTCACAGGAGACTTATGGAAGGAGACGGTCCTTGGGCAGGAGCTGGTCAGGTGGGCAGAGGAGGAAGGCCATTCAGGTGACCACTGGCTGGAGTGGGAGCCCAGAGTGGGACACAGACTGGGGATGCCAGGAGACTCCTGTTGGAAATGGAAGGGGTCTCCAAACTCCTCTGTATTTTACCGGTGAGGAAGGAGGCCCAGAGAAGGCCTAGCTGAACTCTCCTGCGCCTGAGTCCCCAGAACCTCCGTCTCCCGTCATTCCTACCTCTGTGCAAGAAGGTTTCCCACAGCCTGGCAGTGTCTGCCTTTAAAGGAGTGCCCGGGACTGGCTAGGCCAGCCCTGACTGATGGTTTACAACAGGCCTCATAGAGAAGATACTAACTTAAAGCATTAAAAAAAGCCTCTTAATCGCACACTGTGGTGTGAACACCTTGATTACCTGTGGCCTTTTGTTTCTTCTGGGGAAGTCTCTCTTTTGAGTTTGGTCAAGTTTGCTAGGGTTTGGGGAGAGGGACTGAGGCCTGCTTGGTTCCTTTCGAGGCTGCTGGCTCGGAAGCTGGAAGTTTCCCTGAAGCCCTGTGACGCTGCAGGTGACACGGTTCCCACCCTCCAGAGAGCTGTGGGGTCCTCAGGGAAATGTGCATTTAAAAAACGATGATGGAAAAAGCCTTCAGGGGGGCATCCCTTGGGTAGTCTGCTGAAACTCAGTCTGGTGACCCAGCCCCCGAAATGCAGAAAGGCGTTGACCTTCCGTCCCAAGGGGTCTGTCCAGGGTCTGTTGCCCTGTTGGGCTTTACAGAGAAGTGGAGGTGGGAGGGAGTGAAGAGGAGCGTGTTGGGAAAAACGATTGTGTTTTCTCCAAGATTTTCTTGGACTCTGGCTCCAGCGGGCAGGGTTTCCGACTGATTACAGAGAAAAGTCACCGGGAGGGAGAACAAAGGGGAGAAAGGACTTGGCCTGCAAACATGTGGCCTGCGCTGTGCTTCTGGAAGCTTCCCAGTCCAGTGTGGGGGGACAGACTGGCCCAGAGGGCCTGCTGGGTCGACGGATGCATAAGTTTGAGACTTGGGGTGCCTCAGGGGCAGTGCCAGGGCCTCTTCTTTGGGGCCCATGCCCTCTCCTGGCGCGGCGTGTCCCCTGCTGGACTGTGGAGTGTGGGGCGGGTGGAGGGGCGAGCACATGGCTCACTGCTCTGTGGGTTCTGGCTGGCTGCTGCGGGCTTTTGTGGGACTGAAAACAAATTTGCTTGTCATCCCTCTGAAAAAGGCCATGGGATGGTTGGTGGTTTTCTCTTGTAAAACGGAGAGAATGGAACCTCCTCCTTAGGCTGCCTTCAGGACTGGGGGAGGGAACAGGGGGATGGACAATACCAGTGATTAACTATTATCCTCTGTTATTTGTGCTCTCCCCTTCCTAGGGTCAGACAGGATCCTTTTCCTCCAGATTGCTCTGAAAGTTCTACCTAATACTGAATTTCTCTCGCTAGGAGGTAGGCAAGAGGCCCAACAGGGCCACAGGGCCGGCAGCTGTTGAGCACCAAGGCTGTGTTGGTATAGGCTGTGCAGAGTGGCCTCAGCTGGTCTCCTTAGGCATTTGGTCATTTGTGCCCTGAATATCTGCTGAGGGGTGGCTCTGTGTCAGACCTTGTTCAAGGTCTTGAGGATATGACAGGGAAGAAGAGAGACCTGGCCCTTCCTCCACGGGCCTCACTCATTCTTCCAACAACCCTATGAAGCAGGTACTGTTATTATTTCCATCCGACAGATGTGTAAACTAAGGCCCAGAATAGTTAAGCCACTTGCTCAGTAGTGAATAGAGGGCCAGGATGTGGGACCCCGTGTTCCTGATCACTTGACTGTCTTGCCTTAAACTTAACGAGGGGACATAAAAGCGGGCTGGGGAGCACTTTAATCCCTTAAAGGAGTGGTATGTGTGTGCACAAGAGAGGTCTTTAGGAAGAACAAGTGTTGTCCACATACGGGGGGACCACAGAAGTGGGAACCACAGCCTGGGGCCCTGAGAGGCTTGCAGCTGGCCCGACAGAAAGTGACCCCTGAGGTGGCAGCCCCTGCCTGGGCTGAGGTTTGAGAGTGAGCCCATCCTGTGATGGGGGCAGTGGTCAGACCAGGGGCTGCTTGCTGGGGCGTCCAGCCAGGGTCTGGCCTTGGCCCTGCCTGAGTCAGGTCCTCCTTGTTGCCATCTGGGTGAGAGTCCTGGGGACCCAAGTCGAGGTGCCCCTCCCTCTGCAGGGAGAGGTGGTGCACCACTGGCTCTGGCTGCAGGATGTAGAAGAGGTCTGGAGCTGTCTGCAGGGTGGAGAGAGTCACCTCTTTCCTGGCACATCTATGGAAGAAAGTGCTCTTGGCCGTCTGTCCAGGGTCCCAGACACAGCAGGGTGGGCCCCGCCTCTGAAGAGGACGGCCCTGGAAGTTGTTGAGGTCGCCTTCCTGCTTCATCTGTCAGGACGCTGTCCTGGTCCTTGCCAGGTGATCCTGCCAGAGGGCTGGGCGCACATAGCTAGTGCCAGGAGCCCGGAGCCCGGATTCTTGCCCAGCTCTGTCATTGCCTTCCACCAGGCCCAGAGCCTCCTTGTCCCCGAGGGAAGGCTTTGTGATGTGGCTGTTAACTATGCTGCCCGCTTGCGGCCAGTCGAAGGGGATGCCACGTGGATGGGGGTCTGGGCCCTCTGGGTCCCTACACCTCCTGGTTGGTAGCAAAGAGGTAAAACCAAACCAGCCTTGTGGTCCAGCGGGGCCCCCAAGGAGAATCTGGGAAGAAATGGTTTGTCTATCAAGAAACCACACATCTGCTAGTACACTCTCTTTAAAAAAAATTTTTTAAATTTAAGTATCATTGATATACAATCTTGTGAAGATTTCTCCTGAACAACATTGCGGTTTCAACACTCAGCCATATAATCAAGTCCCCCCACACACCCCATTGCGGTCACTGTCCGTCAGCTTAGTCAGACGCTGTAGAGTCATACTTGTCTTCTCCGTGCTGCACTGCCCTCCCCGTGACCTACCTATGTTGTGTGTGCTAATCACAATGCCCCTTAGAGCCCTTCTCCCTCCTCTCCCTCCCTCCCCACCCCTTTGGTAACTACCAGTCCCTTCTTGGAGTCTGTGAGTTTGCTCCTGTTTTCATCCTTCAGTTTTACTTTGTTTTTATACTCTACAAACGAGTGAAGTCATTCGAGTACACTCTTTTTATAGGTGGGGAAACTGAGGCCCAGAACGGGGAAGTGGCTGTTTTTCAGTTCTATTCAGCAGAAGTTTCCTGAGCATGTCCTGTGAACCTGGCCTGGCCCCAAGGAAACATTTGTCATGCATCCATCACGTGTCAGGTTGTCCATGCATTTACCCAACAGTGCTGGCTGGGGAGTCAGTCCTGGACTAGGCCCCTAGGACCCGGGGAAGGTGAGGTCCCTGCCCCAAGGAGCATGCTGCGTGAGTTCACTGTGGCTCCAGATCAAATTACTGTAAACCAAACGGCTTAAAACAACAGAAATGTATCCTCACCATTCCGGAAGCCAGTCAGGTATCGAGGTGTCACCAGGCTTCGCTCCCTCTGAAGCCTCTACAGGAGAATCTGCCCTTACCTATCCCAGCTCCTGGCATTCCCGGGCTGGTGGCCTCATCCCTCAGATGTCACCCTCTGTCTTCATCTGAGATGTGACAGGCCAGGAGTCATCTGTGAGAAGACCTGGGGAGACCATTAGGGCAAAGGGAACAGCTGGCCTAAAGGCCCCCAGGTGGGACCAGGTGTATTGGGGTGCCTGGAGGAAGGCGCGTGCCTTGGGGCAGGAGTAAAGGGGGAGGAGTGGAGGGTGCCCGACAGGGCGGCCAAGATGGGAGAGGCCAATGCAGGGCCTTAAGAATTAGGGTGCAGACTGTGGATTTTAT